TATTATGAAATAGCTAGTGCTGAGAAGCCTGTAAATTGTGGTAAAAATTGTATGGATCAATGGATGAAATCTACGGTGAAATTACTAGAGCTAAGAAGCCTATAAATTGTAATCAAATGATGAGGATCAGTGGATTAAATTTATTTTGGAATGGCTAGTGCTGAGAAACTTGTGAATGGTAATCGAGTAATGAACATAATGTGAATCAATTGATAGAATTTATTATGAAATTGCTAGTATTAAGAAGCCTATGAATGGTGATCAAGTGATAAAAATAATGAGGATTAGTTGACAAAACTTGTTCTAAAATGCTGAGGAGCTATAAAAGAAAAATGTGAGATGATAGAGTCTAGAGATCCATATTACCCCATTTAATTAGAATTTCATGACATTGACACTTGCATTACATACATTGCATTTGCATTGTTGTTTAAGAAATATTTAAAATTTTGGTTTGGCTATGCACTTGTATTATGCAGTAAACATTTGACTCATGGTTGAAAAAATGACATTTGTAGTATTGTGAGGAGCTAGATTGTTGCATTTGCATCCTTAAGAAAGCATTTGTGTCATTGATCATGACATTTAGTACATACAAAATTTTGACTTTGTTAAAAGTTTGAAAGTCATTTGGAAAAGAAATTTTAAATATTTTGATGATGTCCTGAATCCTCAAATGAAAACCTTTAAGTCTTAAATGAAAATCTTTAAGACATTTTCAAATAAGAACCTTTGAGTCTTAAATGAAATCTTTAAGGTATTTTCAAATGAGAATCTTTCAGTCTTAAATGAGAATCTTTAAGACACTTTCAAATGAGAACCTTTGAATTTTAAATGAGAATCGTTAAGACGTTCTCAAATGAGAACATTTGAGTCTTAAATGAGAATATTTGAGACGTTTTCAAATGAGAACCTTTGAGCTTTTTAAATTAGAATATTTAAGTTTTTCAAATGAGAATCTTTAAAAAGAATTCAAATAAAAACCTTTGAGATTTTAGATGTGAAACTCTAAGATTTATTGCATGTGAGCCTTTGAACTTGAACGAAAAGTTTTAAACTTTTGGATGTGAATCTCTAAAATTTGAACAAAAAAGCTTAAACTTTTTCGATATGAACCCTAAATTTGTCAAATATGAACCTTTGAACTTGAATGAGAAGCTTTGAACTTTTGGATGTGAATTTCCAAAATTCAAACCAGAATCTTTAAATGTTAGATGCGAGTCTTGCAATTTGCAAATGCGAATCTTGCAATTTGCAAATGCGAAGCTTGAAATCTTGTAAATTTGAATTCATGCAAAATTGAAAATTTGAGAATCAAATTTCATTGAATTCTTACAAAGCTGAAAGGTTCTTGCGAATCTAAACCTTTGAATTTTGAAGTCAAATTGTGAATCTTTGAGTTTCATTAGACACGGTCTATGACTCCTCTGGACATGATTGTTGAAGAGCTTTTATTTTTCAAAGTTGTTGTGCATCTGTTTAGATGAGCCTTTATTTTTCAAAGTTATTGTACCTTTGCTTAGAGGAGCTTTTTATTTTTCAAAGTCGTTGAGCCTCTATTTAGAGAAGCCTTGTTGAACCTCTGTTTAGAGGAACTTTTTATTTTTCAAATTCATTAAGCCTATGTTTAGAGGAGCATTTTATTTTTCAAAGTCGTTGAGCCTCTGCATTTTATTTTTCAAAATTGTTGAGCCTCTACTTAAAATAGCCTTATTTTATTTTTCAAAGCTGTTGAACCTCTATTTAGGGGAGCATTTATTTTTCAAAAGTTATGGAGCCTTTGTTTAAAGGAGTTTTTAGGAAGTGTGAGTATGCTTTAAAAAAAAAAGGCATTGAGTTGATTTTGATTAAGTTATCTACGTCTTTACATAATTCTTATTTCATAAAAAATGCACAAAAATGAGTAACTGTAGATACCTCAATCTGTCTGGGGTTCTACTTGGGTTAATTTTGTTAATAAAAAAAAATAGGCAGTCGAGTTTGTGTGAAATTATTGACATTGATTTGTAAAGTTGGAGTTGGGTTTAAGATTGAAATTAAAAGAAAATTGGGATTTCTTTCTGGATTGGAGTTCTCAGATTTCAACCTTAAACCCATGCAGATCACACAAACACACACAAAAAATTAAGAGGCAGAAATCAGAAAAAGCAATCAAGAAAATTTTTCAAAAATTTTTTGAGGTAAAAAAATTTTTTTTAGAAAAATATAAAAAATTCTCAATTCTAACAACTTTTTTCAATCTGTGCCTGTAGCTCAACCGATTTAGACACTTCAGCCGAGCCGTTTCTATTTTTTTGTGCATTTTTTTAGTATTTTATTTATGTGTTTGTTTTTTTTAGTATTTTTACATGATTAAGTTTGGGAAAAAAATTAAAAAAATAAAAAAATAAAATATTTTTTTTAGAATAAGTATTAATTATCAAATGATGAAATTTATAGAAATTTCAAATAGTAAATTTCTATAAAATTCTTAGGTGAGAAATTTTATCTAAATTTATCTCAAATGGTGGAATAATTTAGATAAAGTTTCAATAATAATAATTAATATTTATTTTCAAACAAAAAAAATAATAAACCAAAAAAATTAAAATAAAAATTTAATAAAATTTTGAAAAAATACAAATTACCCAAGGATGAGATTTTTAGAAATTTCAAATGGTAAATTTCTTAAGAAATCTCTAAGTGAAAAATTTTCTCTAAATTTGTCTCAAATTGTGAAATAATTTAGATGAAATTTCAATAAAAGTAATTGTATTTTTTTCCAAATTGGGTTGAAAATATTTGATAATTATCTAATGATAAGATTCTTAGAAATTTCAAATGATGAATTCTTAAGAAATCTTTAGGTGAGAAGTTTCTTTAAATTTATCCCAAATGGTGAAAGAATTTAAATGAAATTTCAAGAAAAATAATTGTCATATTATTTTCCTTCCAAAAAAAAAAGAAGAGAAATAAAAGGAATTTCTATATAGGCCCAAATAGTGAAAAATTTAAAAATTCAAAAAAAAATATTTCTAATTTGGCCCAAATGGTGGAATAATTAGATGTATTTTCAATAAAAAATAATTAAACTTTTTTTCAATGACTGAGCCTCTTCAAGGAAACAAATGAAATTCTTGAATACTTTTGAGGTGAGAAAATATTTTTAAGAATTTTGTCAAATTAATGGAAGAATTTTAAGAATTATTTCCAATATTTGAACATAAAAATTTGAAACCATTAGAATCAGGATCCTAGGATAAATTTAGAATAATATAGTACTATCTTTTGGATGGGCATGTAGGGATGTTATAACATTTCCATATGTAACTGAACTCTTGAACTCTATTCTAGTTTGTAGACTCAAACCTATTTTTTTAGAGACCTTTAGTCAAACTTAAGAGTTCTATAAAAGGATAGATTCCTTAAGTGACTAATCACACCTAGTTAAAAAAGATTGGTGGTGACTTCTTTTGTTAAGTCTAGCTACAAATTTACGGATCTATATGTTACGACATTTACAATAAAATTTTATTTTGCAAAATCACTTCTAGTAATACACCCAGTAGGTAAATACATGTCACACTACCCATGTTACTAATAATAACCATTATGTGGTTTATTATCCACCAATTAATTCATAAAACACCATATCTTAATAATAATTATTAACATATATCAATTTAAGTTTAATTGGTTTTCATGAAAATTACACACTAATCAAAATTTGAACCAATAATAAATTTTAAATATATATATCAACATTTGATTTATAAATGACTAACAAAGATAGAATCATACAAATAGCTTAACTCAACTTATTATCTCAATTTTGATACCATGATTTAATAATAAAATTAATGTTGTAGTCAAATCTTATTTTCTACATATATTCTCTACTTGTACCTAATTCTTATGGTAAATTTTTTTACCCATTTTTTATTGTTTTCATAGAAACCATGAGTAATTTGCCTGTTCTATATATAACCAAAACACGATAATTAAACAATCGGTCATTCCATTAGAACTCAATTTAATTGGTTACTTAATAACAAGTGATAATTCTTTTGGTCATAAATCAATTCATGTCTTTTCCTTTTATGTTTTCAGGCTATTTCTCATCCTAGTCTTTATAAGCATTGATTTTTCAAAATAAATAAAATACAATTCATTAAACCTAATTGTATAGTCAATTTCAATATATGCATAAACTTATGCAATATAATAATATTTTGCATATTGTGTTTTAACTATACACACTAATGAAAAAAATTATTAATGTGTTTATTTCATTCAGTCAATCATTTTACCAACAAGTATGCAAAAAAATAAAATACATACCTGTAATGAAGATCTTTATGAAAATTAACATTTTGGTTTATAGAACATTAATCCTTTGATACCTTGAGCCTTCTCTAATATTAATATCCAAATCATGCCAATTTCTGTTTCTTGTATCTTTCTCATGCAAAATATAAATTTTTCATAATTACCTTTAAATTGTTAAAAAAAAATAAGAGAAGAGAAATAATAGAAAATAATTTTGGCTTTGACGCGTGAAAAACACTTTCTTAAAGGCAATTATGCCTTTAGGATACAACAAAATCTCAAACTCTCCAATCAGAAGTAGTCAAAATAATTATACTGAAATATTTATTTATAATAAATGAACATACATAAACTTTTATTCAGATGATTATAACATTTTATATAATCATGACCTTTATAAATAATAATATATTTATATTCAAATAGTTATCACCATTTGTCATATGATAATTATTTTTATTTAAACATAATTATTTAAAATATAAATAAAATTAATAAAAAAATTAATTTTATTCATCAATAATTAAATCTTTTTATCTAGTGTAAGATGTATCACATTTTAAACTACCAACATAAACAAACTGTCCTTCGGAACCTCCTGCCTCCTTTCACGTCAGTCTTAAACATGTATATGATGTACTTGGTTGATTTGATTTTATTATGTTAAAATTGATCATGCCCACCAACGCCAATGATATAAGGAGGCACATGAACCATGTTTAGTGAACCCCCGGGCACATCCTAAAAATTTGCATAATACTAAGAGGGGGTAATTTATATCTGAATCAGGGTTGCCTTCTATCATTCTGTTAAGCTCATTCCTAGGATATTCCCTCATCATCTCCTAATTGCATGGATTTCAATTCCAAACCGTCCCCTTCCGAGGCATGCCCCGAGACAATGGATTTTCTTTCGCGTGCATGGTGCAACTTTGCAGTTCAAGCTCTCCAACCTGAATTACATGATCAATCGATTGTTGTCTTAGACAATCCAATCAAGAAATTTGAGAGTGAAAACCCCAATGTCTTTTACAGTGAGTATCAAACTTTATCTTGCACGTATTGTATTTTACATGCTACAGACCAAAAGAAATTGAATTGATCAAGCTTTTATAACTGCCTGAAGATGGAGAAAAGCACAAAGATTGATGCTACTGATTTTAAGTCTTCTTTGCCACCATGGAAATCCAATGATGTGAAGGTAACATCCATCATACTCTGTTCCGTTAGTGCTACGTACAAGCACTGTTTTTAATTATTTCTTTATATATCTTGGACTAAAATTATTAATTTTCATTGTATGTTCAGTCATGGATATGGATGCAACAAGCGATGCATCCAGAACTGAATTACAACGGCTGCTTTCGAAAGAAATGGGTAGGTGGTTTAGAAACTAGTTTCTACGTCCTTGTAGTTGTTTAATTTAGATAAAAAACCTTAATATTCAGGGAAATTCTTACCACTAACTCCTCATATATGTGCTTAGATGCCCTGGAACATAGTTCCCTTTAGGGGTATTTCAATAAAGAAATGGTTGAAGGAGATGAAAGCAAAGCGAAAGGAAGAAGATAGACTACAAAGAGCAGAAGTGCACGCAGCAATGTCAGTGGCAGGGTTAGCAGCTGCACTGGCTGCAGTTGCGGCTGAAAACTCCAAAAGGGATTGTAACCCAACCAAGGAGGCTGCAGTAACCTCAGCCGCTGCTCTGGTTGCAGCACAATGCGCCAAAGTGGCAGAAGCAATGGGGGCAAAGAAGGAGCAGCTTGGCAGTGTTATAGGTTCGGCCATGAGTGGTACAAGTGCAAGTGATATCTTAACACTAACTGCTGCAGCTAATACATGTAAGTATAAACGTAAATGTTCCGTCTGATCTTCTGTAATATTCGCGAACAAGCTAGAGCTACTCTGGAATTGTAACTGTTGTCTGTTGAAAATTTGAAATGGAGATTCAGCTATCACCTGAAATTGGTAAATCAGGTCCAGCTCATCAGGGTTTTGGTATGGCCAGGGCTCAACCGGTTTCCAATTTCATTAGGGTCTTTTACCCGAGCAGCTAGTTCGTTGAGATCTTTTCAATATTGGTTCAAACCAACTCAAGTTTTAATCATCAATTTTTTTCTCCTGTCCAGGTCCATTAGTCTAAAAACTTGATTGGAATGTATGAAATAATTTTTCTTATATTTAAAATCTTAATTTTTTATTATTGAAACATTTTCTTAAGACATCCATTAATGCCTGTGGAGAGAAAGTAATAAACCATTCAGCCACCGCTAATCATTCCTTTAAAATTAAAAAATAATAATAAATAAATTGAGGGCTATTTAGTTGCTGTGCTGTTTTTTTTTTTTTTTTTTTGGGTATATAGTGTTAATCTCTCTTGATCTTTAACTCATTTTTCAGTTTTTATTTTCTTCTAATAATTATTGTAGCTTTAAGAGGAGCTGCAACTCTTAAAGCAAGAACAGGATGCAAGAACAGATTCGATGGTAGTGCCCTCATCCTGCCAATTGAGGACAAAAACGATTTTCCATTTGAGTTTGAGAAGTGCAGGTCTATGCTAGCAGAGGGAGCTGAGCTAGGTGTAGAAACACCAGATGGTTAGTAGATTTTCTAGTCTTATAGTTAAAAAAAGAAGATATATTGCATTTGAGAAAATAATTTACTTATTTGAGCTTTGATTTTATTTTTCCTTATCAGATACTGTTATTTCTAAACAGGGAAACACGTGGTCAGATCAGTGTCCATACTCCTCGATGGTGAATCGAAGGTCAGACAGTGAAGCTGAAGCCTCTACTTTGGAAATTCACAATAATTAGATGCACTAAATCAAATGCTTTGTTGGCGTGCAAACATTAATTTATTATAATTACCTGGTAACTAATGCGTTAATCAATTTTTCATTCATAATATACTTGCAGGTTATTCTGAAACTAAGGAAGCTCAGCCTGTTGAAAAGCAAGAAAGAATGTGAGTCTCACATTTTCATCATTTCTCCCATTTTCTTTTCATTTAGTCCTCCAGTGCTTTTTTGCAAAAAAAAAAAAAAGTTGTTTAAAGATCAAGATCACATGGAATTTGATCAAAATATGGATTCTGTAACTCAGGCATTGTACTGGACCTGCATGCTGAGTTGTATAGAGATCCTGAAGCTGATCATGAGACTACTGATACATGTTACCTAATCGTGTTAACAACAAATTTGGGGACCATTAAGCTAGACTTGGTAGATGATTATAAGCGTTATAAGACATGGGCTACCACCATTAATCACATGCTCATGCTTTCCACTTCTTTTTCCAAATATCAACTTCAGTTCTACAAAAACTGAATTTACTGTGTTTTTGGTGATATGCTGCATCCATCTATATATTTTCTATATTTGTAACAGTATTTTATATTGATTTACTTTGTAATAACTCTTGTTGGACATAAGTACATGGAATTTCTAGTTAGATCTTGATATACACTACTTCTCAACGCAAATTTTACGATCATGGTGTTTAAAGTTGCACTGAGCTGAGACATTGCAATTGAAATTAATTATATCATTTGGTTGTTTATTACATAGTTACTAAAGGAATTGGCAATCCAGAGTTCAAGACCATCCAAGGGTAATTAAATGACATAGTGATAGCAATCATTTACGGTTATCCAGAAACATTTTATAGCAGAAAATCAATCTGAATAAAGTATAATCCATTAAAACCAAAATGCAAAAAGAGTAGCAGCAAGAAATTGAAACTTACAGTGGATGCAATTGTAGATAATACTAAGAAATGGGAATACATCCAATCATACACCATAGGAGTTTGCAAGGCTTCTGAGAACATAAACTAGTGATTTTAATTTGATAATGTGCTCAATAGACCTCTGAAACAAGGTTTCTAAATCGGCCTCCTCGCATCCTGCAACCATCCTTCGAAGAGTGCAATATGCACCGGAAATTTGACAAACTTCACTTTTTTTCTCAACCCTAGGCGGCACATCCTTGTCCTTTGGTTTCTTTGATTCATGGATAAGAAGCAAGCTTTTCTCATGATAAAAATACTGCAAGACAAGTTGCTTGTAAATTGGATGTTTACCAAAGGAGTTTATAGATTTAGAAGTTTTCTCTTGCTAGGAGCCATTTAATAGTTCAAATTTTAAACCTGAAGATGGGGGAGATATGGAGCAAATTGCTGTTTGAAGCCTTTTCGTACTTGTCAGTTGTCACCTAGTGAACATCACTATATCTATACATTGACAACTTTAATACTAAGCTCTTAAGTTTCATCTTACTTGACAGTATGACTAAAGTTATCTATAATCAAGAGAAGCAATAAGCTCACAAGGACCTTGGAACCTGGGACTTGAGCAAATGGTTCACCTACCTTTCTTAAGAGGTAATTTTCAGTAAAGTTGGGATTTGATCCCATCCCTGCAAATTCCCTTTTCTCAATTTCCCGTAGGCGTTGGCCTCATATGTTATTAAAAAAAAAAAAAAAGGTCACAAGGAACACAAGAAGGTGGAACTAGCCTCAGGATTTGTCTTTTGGAATTGAATTCAATAGACAACAAAGTTTGGTGCACTGCCTTAGGACAGTTTAAATGTTTCCTTTCAGAAAACCCATGTTAATTTCAACACCGCACCCCTAGCCCCAAGGAAAAAAATAATAAATATATAAATTGGAGATACTAAGTAGAAAAAGTTACCAAAACCATTGGATCAAATATTTTAGTTCAAACTATAAATCCCTGGAACATTATAAAATTGTTTCCCGTTACCAAAGTGATGTAGAAGTCATTTCAACATTGTCATAATGGACTAATGAATCTACCATTTTTCCTTCAGTAAATGAAAAACAAAAAGAACACCTGCTGTGTTTAACATGAATCACAAATGAATACCTTTAGCTTATCTGCATTTCTATTTTGGAATTTGGGTTATATATAGATCCTTAACAGAATCATCTTTATTATTTATGGAGCTCAAGTTATAATCTTGTAATTATATCTAATACATGGGTTTGGCAACGTGAATAGTGCCACAACAACTTTTGCAGGATGGGGAAATGATGGCAACCATGTATGGATTGTTCAGGACCACATTATGTATAGGCCTAGCTGGTGGCCTGGTGGGCATGCATGTTTTCTATAGTCCATGTCTCATCATCTCATTTCTCATATTCTGCAATGTACTTCAGATTCCTTTCCTCTGCAAAAAGGCCGGTTAGCCTTATTTCAGATATTTGTCCACCTGTATGAAGTCTACTGGACATTCTCCGGGGGGGCTGAATCTTGACACCTTCAGGTCCTTCTGAATTGTGACAAGACTAGAGCAAGCAGAATTGCATGGTCTTTTCCAGCATTTCTGAATTTCTACGTACCAACCGATCGGCTTGTCTTTTTTCTCAATATATACAAAGGAAAAACTGATCCAGAACAATGGAGAATTTGATAACCCATAATGTGCATGAATTTTCCTAAAAATGTGGTCCTTCCTTGCATATATGTTCTCCCATTTGGGGATCTAATCAAAGCTGCAAGTGGGTCTTGTTTATCCTACCCACCAACAAGAGATTGATTGAATATAGATTTTCAGACTGTTACAGAGCAGCTATAAGCCTATATCTTCTACAAGAACTGGCAAATCAGCTGAACATATATGGCATAAAGTTTTCGGTTATGGTCGGAGAGGAATTCAGCTACTGGATGTCGATGTGGTTGGGGTTCAAAGAATGTAGCTAGTTGAGCCAAGTAGGCCAACTTGCAAGAGGACAAGCTAGCATTTCATGTACAGTTCACTGCATCTAAGATGACCTCTGAAATATATATTCATACTAAAGCAGTGTTCCTGATCTGAAATTACAACTCCTCTATTGGATATGCTTGAGATGAGTCACGTGGAGACAAGTACAAAAGTAAGAACACAGTTTCACTAAAGGATTTTGTTTTTCAACAGCTTCCGTGTTGTGTTTTTTGTCCAAAAAAAACACTAAACAAAAGCAAGAAACTTTGCATTTAAAATATAAAGCATTATTTTTAGTTGGAGAATTATTAGTTGTAGACTCTTTTGAGTTCTACATTGTATTACCATTTATGAAAATCTTTTATGAATACTATGATATGGTAGGATTACTACCAGTATAAATGGGGAAGGACAAATCTATTAACAGCTGTCTCAGAATAAGTTTCAAGAATCAACTTCACCAACTCATGCACCATAATTCATTGATGAAGGATTTTTGCCACTACAAGACAATGACAACCATAAAAATCCAACTCCATGACCCATCTTGGAAAAACCATAAATCTGTTTAAGGTCAGATTATCTTTGAAATAAATACAGGTGACATTAATGTGTCCAAAATGTAAATGGTCTAGTTCTAAAAGAACGAGCGGCACTCTGTCCCGACAACATAAGCAGGTACTTCGGGCAGGAAAAACATGATTCGTTATTAAGGACAGTCTTACATATAGAGCATGGTAGTGTATCATCAGCTATCTTTTATCAACCATGCCTTGAAGATATTTCTCAAGTTTGAATTCAATTTTTTCTAAAAAATCAATGAATTACATACATTAGAAAACAAAAGGAGTAAAGAAAACAATGTTCAGCAAGATCAAGGCTAGATTACAAAACTGGTTGTGTTGGAATCTGACTTTTACGTGCCAGTCATAGCATATACAACCACAGATGCTTGAAGATCACTGTCCACCTTGAAGTGAGCATGGAAAAACCTTCTAACCCGCAGAAATCAAGAACAAATTGCTTATTGCAAGAACCACAAGTAGCATCAACAAGAATGGCTTGACAAAGAGATAAAACAAACCGGCATTAGCATGTACCTCTCTAAAAGAATGTGAAACTAGAAAGTTTCTTAATTGCTTTTCCTCTGAATCAAACAATACAATGTGACTAGGTTGAGACAATTTTTGGCAAATTCTACTGTAAAACCAACTGGATCCATCATGAAAAGGTCCGATTTTTCAGGGATTCCCTTCTCTTCACTGCAAGTCATGTGAGAATAGCATAAGAGTTACAAAGCAACAACACCATAAAGAAATATCATGGAAAAAAAGCGTGCCAATGACTAACCTTGGTGAGCAATCTAAAAGCCACATGGGCAGGCTGCGATGCAGAGTGGAATACTAGTGTGTGGCATTGCAGGGCATTAGGAAAATCATACTTTTCAATTTCTCTTTCACAGCTTCTTTAGATAGTTGGTTCATCACATCCTCAGTTCCTCTCCGTCTTGCAAGTTTGAGATTTGAGCATCACATGAAAGAGAACCAGGAGTAAAATAGAATGTCCAACAAAACAACATAGTGAAGGATCTTTTCTGATTCTATTACTTCATAGTTAGGACAATTATAAAGAAATGAAAAGGAAAACAATGTGAGAAATTTACTTCAATTAATAAAGCAAATATTAGAAACATGCACACAGACACATATGATGGAAGTGATCAAGCAAATGAAACTGTTGTAATAAAGAAGAGAAGACAGAAGCTAAGCAACTTTGATTGCATTGAAGAGGAAGTCACTATACCTGATGAACCAAACTCATATAGAGGGCCATTGGAATATTGGGTGCAAGCAAGAAGAAGATAGCAAGTTGCTTTTTCGAAGGACATTTGTTGTAAATGCATGAAGATCTTTTCCCTTCAACATTTGGAGAAACACATTCTTCAAGTGCAGCTAGTGAATATCCAGAGAATATCAAACTTACGGGAAGCACAGGGACGACAACCCTACAGTTAATAGATGAAGTAGAAGACAGCAGAACAAAAGGTACATAAGGAATTATCAAATGCATGTGAACTCAAAGTACATGATATTATACTTTAGGGAAACTTGCCTGAATTCTTTGTGACCAAGTATGCTGTAAAGTCCTAAAACCCACAGAGTAAGCCCAGAAAGCTTCCAATATTTAGACTTGATAATGCCAGCAACACAAAATGGTAGATAACTGAATAGCATCACTGAAAATCCCTGAGTGAAGTACCAGTGCCACTTGTGAGTTCCATAATAATCTCGGCCAGAAGAAAGAAAATTGAACTTGAGAAAATTAAGCGGTAATAAGATCCAGGAGCCATACATTAGGAGATCCAATAAACACATAAGTCCGAGCACCAAAGTCTTGATAACATAAGGAAAAAAGATTGTAAGATAATCCACAAAGAAGACAGTAAAATAGGAAATGAACTCCAACTGATATCTAAAAACATGTACAATATCTAAGCACTTTGAAGGCGAAATGAACATTGTGCATCCATCCATTTTCATGTGTTGCTCTATCTGTGTATTGCAAGCCTAAGGTACATCCCTAACCACATCTGCTCTAAG